GGGGGGGAGGGAGTCATTTTTGTCCTCTTAAAGTGAAAATTAATTCAAGTCGGTTCCTTTGAAGTGGCCATAACCTGAAGATGTTCGTGACACATAAGAGCTCTTGACAACCAGTGGTACGAGAGCTTTTGAACTTTGTATTTGCATTTTATATAATGGAAATGAAAGAGATGAAGTATGCAGTGCATATGAAGATTGAAAAGATCATCTAAATATCCAAAGCTTATTTCATAGGAAGGAGAATCTTGTTTGTTCTCCCTTCTTTGATTTTGGTTTTAGATTTGCAAAATTTTAACAAACCATTTATCTCATCTGTAATTTATGCAACATCCAATATGAATGTCGTTGGGGCTTTATTAAAAGTTCGAAAATGAAACATTGAAAGACATTTAGAAAATGAATTACCAGGATAGAGAGATTTATTTTCACAAATTGAACTCTGCGGCTATTTTACGCCAAAGGCAACACTTATTTACATAAATCAATCCAGTTTGAAAACATGCGCAATATTTTAATCTGTTGAACGAGGTAACGAACAGAGCACATCTCATTTGCTTATCCTGTCTTGGTATTCAGATCAATTTTGTAAAAATATGAAAGAGGAGCTTGGAACTTAATTATGATCATCAAATGCAGGAGTTGCAATATTTGAATACTAATAAGCCTTTAAGAATAAATATAAAGTGGTAATGAGGTTTAACTTAACTAAGATTACTAGTAACCTGGCTATAGGGTCGATAATACTTTGACTCCTTCGTCGCTACTACCCGAGGCAAAAAGGTGAGTCCCAAGGATGTTTCCTCTGAGACAGTGAATCAAGCGGCTGCTTAAAGAGTTTAGATTGCGAAAAATTATGGAAGAGAATATTTTCGATGCAGTGAGTTAAATTTGAACCAAGCAATAAAATATTAAAGCCAATCCATATTTAAAAAGTGAAATTTGCTTACTTACATGAAATTAAAATAGATCAATGAGAATAAGGGAGGGTTTGAATCATTCAATTCGAATGTAATGGCTCATGAGTGTTAAGCATTCAAAACCGGCAAAACATTAAGCTATCGATCTTCCCAATATTCCCTTTAAAATTATTCGACAAATTAGGCAACAGTTTGAAGTCGAATCGGCTTGGCAAACTAATTAAGAGGGCAAAAAACTAGTAAGAACCTGAAACAAAATAAATTAAATAACTGACAATTTATAATTCAACATCATAATTACGGTAGTTTTAAAAATTCCTTCACAACTATTAAAAGAGGTCCGATAGGAAAACACAGAGTGAACGAAGCATACCAATGGAAATCTCGGTTATTGCCAAATATCAAGCAAGCCCATTTCCGGGCACCTCACATTTTGCTACTAATGTGCTTGGAAGTCCATCTTTTAAACACCTCAAAGTATTGATAGTAATGAAAAGAACCGTGACCAATCTATCAAGAGATAATTGAAGAAAATTAATAAATACTGTAAAGATTGCTAAATAAACTTTACTAGTACTAGAATATTTATACCAAACTAAGGTAAAGAGAATAACTAATTCAGGAATAGCCAAAATTTATCAGCTAATATCAATTGATAAATTAAATAAGCGCCAGTAAGACATGCCCAACTTAAGTTAAACTTATTAAAAGTGTAATTAATCTCAATCCGATCTAGATGCATAGGTGTTCGTACGAAATGTCCCGAAAATTTTGCTACAAGACATATCAAAATTTCGGATAGAAAGGGTGAAATCATGTCAAATTTATTCCATGAATTGCAAATCAGGGACCGTTATTCCTCAATCACCATGATTATTTTCGCTTCGGCGAAATTACCATATCCTGATATAAAAACCAAATATCTAAAAAGAGTACAATGGATTATAAAAAATAAAGACGAAGAAGATTTTTATTTTCGAATTCTCAAATTCATTTTGAATTATTAAATAAAAATAGCGCATGAAATTTAATTGCAGGCATATATGTAATCATATAAGCGTATTGGTCGTACAAATATGGTTTCCGACCTATACTTACATGTTGTACGATATATCAAGTCAAGGTAATTTAAAAAAACAAAGTAAATTTTTAATAAAATATAATTCATAAATTCATATAAATTGAAATGAATAACAAAGAATTTAGAGATGACCGTTTTGCATTTAAGTGAATAATGTAGGCCGCGTTAATTTGAACTGGAGGTATCATTTTCGGCAGTAGGCCAAAATGTCAACAAGAGCACGAAGAAGACTGATGAATGACTTTCGTAAAATCAAGCAAGATCCACCGCCCGGAGTTTATGCCGTGCCTCAAGACGACAATATTCTTCGCTGGCATGCGGTTATCCTGGGAGCTGATGGCACACCATTCGCAGATGGCATTTTTAAATTAGTTATGGAATTCACCGAAAACTATCCCAATGTTCCTCCTAAGGTCACCTTCGTCACCAGAATGTTTCACCCCAATGTTTACGCTGATGGTGCTATTTGTCTTGACATTTTGCAGAATATGTGGTCGTCCTCATATGATATCGGCTCTATCTTGACTTCCATCCAGTCTCTACTTGGCGATCCCAACCCAAACTCCCCTGCTAACACAGTAGCTGCCGAATTATTTGAAGAAAACACCCGCGTATACGAGATGAAAATTCGAGAAACAGTTGAGGAATCCTGGAGATGTGACGACCCTATTGAGCCCGTTTAATGGTTCATCAAAATGCTTGCTGGTATTTCCTTTCTTTGTAAATATAACTTTTGACCTATTCATAAAAAGTAAAATTATTATTTTGAAGGAAAAGGCACTTTATTAGAGAATATCACAGCTCAAACAATGCCGACTGAGTTAATGTGCAGCGGGTGTATTGTTAGTGGATGAAGGAAGTAATAGGTCAGCAACTTGTATAGGGGTTTTTACATCCTCGGGCCAGGGATTTGTGTAACCGGATTTGGGGTTCGTAATCTTTTCATAGATTCTTACGTATACCGAATGGACAAGATCTGCAGTTCTACGTCTCAGAGCATTTCTTGGACGTGGAAATGCGATTTGAGCTGCCTCAGGTAGTTCCCAGGTATCAGGACTCGAGAGATAGGTTGCGTTGAATTCTCTCTAAAAAGAAGTATGTATCAAGCAATGAAAATCTTCTGATATTTTGTATGTTGAACTCGTGCGATTTTGCATTCTACTGGTAGGTTAAATTTAAACGGATATGGCAAGAAACGGTTAACCTGTTTTTGTTCCGTCACCAAAAAAAAAATTCTAAAGGAAGCCAAGATTCATCTAACGACAAATTTAGATTTTTTAAACTTTCAATAATAAAAGCGTCTCTAGCTATACCGGGGGGACTAATAAAGGTTTAGAATCAAGGTCCAAATCTCTTTCCGACATTAAACTAATGAAAGGAGCTAATCCTCTAGAGTCGCTTTAATTAGAAACCTCCACTCTTGAACGCTCTTTGGACAAGTTGAAACCAGCAGGGTTGGTCTAGATGTATAGTAGTTGAGTGAAGATAAGCATTGAACTAGAGACCTTCGACTTGGTAGAAGCCAGTGCTATGCCACTGGCAGAAATTATATCTGGACTGCCGTAAATCGGGGTTATGCGTAGATATGGAAAACGAAAGAGTCGAAGAAAAATATCAATGGGTAAACCTCATGGGTCAAATATTAAGTGCCATAGGTGGATTCATCTTATCGAAAGAATTAATCGTTCGTTTTTTAAATAAGAGCTTTCGAAATAGCCATTCCACTAGAAATTCTGCAAAGCTAAACTCCAAATCGGACATAAATCCTAAAAGAACATTTCAAGACAAGATAGGGGTGAATCACTACTTGGGCATATGGGAATACTTGAACTTTAGAGACTGTAACGGGCGAATCTCTCAATTTCCTGATAATGAAAGCATTATGACTCAAAATTCCAATCGGATTTCTAGTACAAGCTTCAACAACTTCCAATAATATGAACGTAATAGGAGACAACTATCTCTGCTTACCAATGCATCGACAATTTCCTCTTGAGAACATCCGGGGATGCTTCTCTGAGCTAGTGAAACATCTTCATGACCTTGTGAAGAGTTAATAGCATCATAGATCCTATGCAGTCCAGCACTGGTCAAAATATGGAGAGTTTGAGCTTGAGTCATCGACGTCAGGACTTCCTCCATCCTCTCTGCAACCGCAGCAATTTGAGCTCCAGTAAAAGCAAGTCTTGCAAGAGCTCCATGAAGGGAGTGAAGACTATTTAGGAGATAGACTAGTCCTTCAGGGGACAAGTCTTTCTGCACTGATTGGGGGCCAAGGAATGATTGAGCCATCTGCTCATAGTGTTCCATCAAGGGTTTGACCACAACTGAGACAATCTGTTTTAAGATGTGAGTTTGGGGAATACTTTAAGTTACCTCTTCGGATTTATTCTGTTGCACGTCCGATAAAGCGCAGGACATATCTTGAATAGTTAAAACAGCTTCTAGTAAACGCGTCACGTCCATTGTTGACGTAGAGGGCATCAAATCATGCCTTGGAGATTCCACCTAGAATTTGAAGTCAGATAGAAAAGCAACAGCATACATCAGATAACATCTCAGAAGTCTGTCGCTGTAAAGCATTGACAAACAGGTTCCAACTCAGGGTCTGAAGTTCTGCCAATGTTGTATAGAGAGTCGATTTCTCATTCAAGAGATTCCTTTAAGAGTAAAACCAATAATCAAGAAATTTGACCGGGAACGTACAATATGACACTGGTGTAGAAGTGGAGGAGATTGTTAATTTTATAGAGGATTACGGAGTTGTACTCAGTTACTAGCATTTGCTCAAGTCGGAGTTGAAGAGGATGAGCCAAACCGCTGGTTATATTGTCTAAGCAATCGTAGATCAGTTCCTTATCAGCTAAAGAATAAGAGAAATTAAAAATTAGGACTTCGAAACGGAGGAAGTGAGATATTGAGGAAATACAGGCAAGTTTCATCAATTATTCAAATAGATTGGGACTTTCGGATTGTAAGAAGCTAATTTGGTCTGAGTATTAGACATCTAACGAATGCAGCTTCAATAGGTGTTATAGAACAAACTTGAACTAGGATTACCGAAACTCCATGAGCAGATAACAGTAAAGATTCATTTACATGCAACCAGTTTATCATCCGTTTCATGAAACGAAGTAGAGACGATTCTCCACTCTTATCTAGAGGAGGAAGTCAACATTGGTGGTAAAAGTCTATTTAAAAGGAAATGTCAATTTAATCGTTTTATTGTTAATTGAGTTTAAGTTGGCTGAACTCTGGAGATTTATATTGTGTAAAAACTGTTGTTAGCCTTAACTTCCTACATTGATTGTAAAGAATATAAAATAACCGAAAATCGATGAATTAAATCAACCAGTCAACATTCCTTAGATATTGTGGATACATTCACACTCATACATCTGGGCGTCAAATCATACAATTAGAACACTACGACATAACGCAGTAGCCCTGTTTCAGGTTCATACTCAGTACTACAACGAGAGGCGATTCTCAGACATAAATGCACGACCATATCGAGAAAAAACACCTTACCTTTCTCAGAGGTCAATGATCGAAGATACTCCTTCTCAGAGGCTGTAGCCTGGTGAAGCCATGCCAACATATCACCAGCATAGCGCGCAGGATCATGTGACTGTAGTTCAATCGGCTTGGTTGAGCCCTCAACTTGATTCAATCCAATTGTCAAAGCCCGAAGAAAAGCCTCCACAATTAGTTGTCTTCGAGCATTTGCATATTCATCAAGGATGTACCTGAAATGATTAAGCAGGCATACATCAAATAGCATGTCCGCAAATATGAAAATAATAGTACATAGTGCTGACCATGAAAGTATAACCAGGGAGAAGAGAGCTTAAATAATTGTAGACAGGAAAAGCCTTGAAATTTTACAATGAAAATGCCCGAACGGAATCACGTAACAGAAAAAGAATTCAGTAACACAACTATTAGGAGATTAGATTTAGTCGCAAGATTAACGACTTTCGAAAAGTGAGGAACTCTTTCAAGACTTACAAAACCCTCGAATTTTCCCTCAACAAAAAGATAGAAAAAGGTGTGCTACAGAAAATGGACCATTTTGATTAGTTTCCTATACAAAGCAAAGATGAGCTATCTAACCTTACAATACATTTAAATAAAGGCGAGTATGCTGGGATAAATAAGAAAAAGCGAAGTTTTCGACAACTAGACAGCTTCAGCAATTCGATTTTCTTAATCGAAAGGATTTCACTCTCCAATAAGCATGTTAGAAAACATTCAAATTGGTTCATTAATTAAGTAATAGTTAAAAGATGCTTACTTGAAGAAAATCGGACGCTCTTGCAACTGCTTTAGGCATTTTCTGAAAGGTATTGATATTTCAACTGCCTCAAAGTTTTGGGTACTAACTTCTCCTAAAAAATGCAAGAAATTTACAATCAGTATACAATTACATACTTTTGATCCAATGATAGAGACATGTAAACGCTTTGTCAATGTACGTTGTTGATGAGTCCAGTAAATCCTTACTAATTAATTGAATGATGTAATAAAATTAAAAAACATACACTAGTGGCATAGAAGGAACTCCCATAGTATTGATAATAAGTTGTCGAATACTTTTAGCTCTTTCAAGTTTTGCAATTAAAATACTGGAGTTTTCACTGTTGATTTGTTCGGTAACAAGAGACCAATCTTCTGGAGGGATATGAAATGCGCTCAAAAGTGCATTTGCAGCTAGATGTGTCAGCATTACTGAATTCCTAACAAAAATATTGCTTGAAACAATAATTACTTTCTAGCTTGATTGACGTTTGTTTCGTTAATCATCTCTTCCATACGAGATTTTGATGCCTAAAAATGCAAAATTGTATTGGTCGCGTTACCACTAATCGTTCGTTGATTCTAGAACAACTTGCAGACATTGCATCTAATTCGACCGAGAGAGAATCAAGACCCTGGAAATAAATCGAATTTCATTCACAATTACCTTCTCCATTGACGACATTTCCTGCAGAAATCTTTCAGCCAGATTTAATCTCGACGTTTCAATCGTTCCTCGCAAGTTACGTCGTGAACGCACATTATTAGATGTGTATGATTCTGACAAAACTCTTAGGCATTCAAAGAAACTCTGGAGATGTTATGTGAAGACCAGCATATACCTCATCAGCTTGGGTGGTAAACTCGATAATTTTACTGATTTTGCTACTGATTGGATTTTTTGTATCAAACACATTTCCAGCTGGCATAGTAAATGAAGACAGCCGTAAGCCGTCTGTAGAACGCGTCCAACAAACAACCAACGCAAAAAGGTCATTTGGAAAATATATGTTAACGCATGATTCGCAAATATAAAGATACAAAAATTAATTATAGAGCAAAAATGATAGGCTATAATATTTATAATTAAATTATCTACTAATATATTTTAAATGACAGCATATACGACAACTTTGAAGCTCTTATTACTCTAATTAGATTTTTTGGCATTTTCCAAGTGAAAATTATTAACAGCATTAACCACTAGTTAAGAATATGCCTTTTAGAAAGTCCTGCATTCGTTCTTATTAATCTCGAATTCTTGTCCTCTGAATTGACAAGCATGTTAGCTGATAATTTTGGCCCCAGAACACAGCGATCTATTAGGGCAAAAAAATTTAATTTTTTCGTTATTATTAATTTAAAATTCACATATTTTGTTAGCATGACTGATTTGAACTCTGGCTAAGATATTATTTTTACTTAATATTGTACTACCCTCCTGTGATTTGATAAAACGATATAAGCAGTTTAATAATTTCATAAAATTATTTTTCAAAGTGATTTTAACTTATTTTAATAATTTATATTGAAAGCTGAGATTCATTCGGATTTTTCTTCGTTCATATCAATTGACTAATGCCGAGCTTGCCTTATTTTATTCATATCATTTTAATTCCTTTTATGCATTTATTTAAACACACATATAACCTCCAGTCCATTTACAAATCAGTGAATATACACATAAAATCCAGTGGTTAAAATATAGAAACTATCCAGGAGCTAGTGCTGGATATACTCAGATCACCAAAGATATGTTAAATAGGTTTGTTATGGGAAACAGTAATGGTTAAGAGGGAAAGTGCTCACGCTTATAATGCAAATATATATATATATATATATATATATATGCTGGTGTGTATGTGGTCCCAAAGATTATAGGTGAACTTTCTAGAAAGATTAATTTGTGATCTTAACCGTTTGTTCGCTAAAACGAAAATTATTCATAGGTTTGAACATCGGGTAAATTAAATGGAAAAGAAAAAATCTTTATTTTAGCGTTGTCATGGCCATGAAACGTTGTATGATCAGTGGAACAATCAATATGTGAAAATTCAACTCTCGATAATATGCCCTGCATGTGCAATGCACACAACAAAAGTTTATTTTTCTTCATAGCACCTTTCTTTTTTAAATGCTCCATTACTGTCTCAGTTTCCATAAAATCATAAATGTATAAAATCTTGTGAATGAAAGTTCCCTAATTCTGCATTTAAAACAATTGGTGCGACAACACGTCGAGCCACCAATAGACTGAACGTACTGAAGCACCTCTCTGGTAGTATATGGACTGTGCACGCTCAACTCTAAACCCCAATTCCAAGATGTTTGTTCAACCAATAATGTTGTATTGCTGCAGGCCATACATTACAGCACAAGGTGACTCTCAAACCACTCGAGAAGGCACGCAACCAAGCATTACGACTAATTACTGGAGGGATAAAATATACACCCATTGATGCAATACACTTAGTCACAGGGAACAGCACAATACGTTCTTTTATCAGAGAGAAGGCCTTGACCCTGTATGAGAAACTACTGCGCATTACCAGGGTCACATTCTGGAGCACCTACGAAAATAGACCAAGACACCTATGAACGCAAGATGGCCTAATACATTAAGCAGTAAAACTGAAGAAAGTATTACAAACTGGTTGCAAATCAGAAAGACTCTCTTTAACTCAAAACCCATTAGCAGACACTGAAGTACTATTTTGCAGCCAAATTCTTGGTCATTCCGTGAAAGCAGACACTCCATCAGATCAAATTCTATAACTGGCTCTCGAGGCAATTAATCAAAAATTGTAATACACATCAATGGATTTAGGTCTTCACTGACGCGTCATACATAGAAAACCAAGCAAACTTTGGTGCAGGTGTCTACTCTGAACTATTTCCCTTTTTTATAGCAGCAGGGGCACCATAGGTCTATATTTGATGGAGAAATAGAGGCTATTAAGATAACATTAGGCCAGTTGTGTTACCAGGATACTAACTACACCAACGCAGTATTTTTTCGGACTCGCAGACAGCAATACAGTCAATTCGAAACAGAGAACCACCCAAAACAGCTGAGATATATGAATGCAAAAGGCTGTATCAGTTGCTCGGAGAAATAAAAAAAACACTTGCTCATCAATGGATTCCCGAACACTGTGACATTATGTTCAGTGAGCGTGCTGACACACTTGCTAAGAAGGGGAATACAATTTTGCAAGACATAGATCGGCCGATGTCCTTCCGAAGAAAAGGAGAAGCAATGGATAGTAGCACTCTCGGACATAGCCGAGTGGCCAAGAATCGAGGCTGTTGCAAAGTTTAGACTGTGTAATGGATACGATTGTCTGGCGAAGCACCTTCACAGCCAGCATGTCCCCCTATGTGACCTACAGGAGGAAATGGAGGAGACCCACCTGTTAAGTCTTAATAAAGGTACTCCTTGAATGATGGTGATATGATGTCCCATTATACTGCAATTGCGACAGTTATTGATCGCACCTTCCGTAATTCTAGCCAATCATACTATGATTAGTAAAGTCCATTATTCGAGCGAGCTATACTTCACCGCATAGTCTCTTTAATTCTCATGATTGTCCTTTTCCATTTGTCTTTTTATCAAACTTTTGCGCAAGCTTTGAAATCATTTCTCACAAATAAATTAAGCTGATTTTCTGCCACCGTCTCATGAATTAGTTCAATTAATCACATTATACCGAAGCCTCTTTATCGGCAATTCCGAAACTACTAACCCTCTGCTTCACTAGAATTCACCATTGTAGTCTTTTACTCATCTCTAGAATTTATTACTCACTGAGAACGCTGTTATTGGCATGATGGATGCTGAGATTTATCACAGAAAGGCAGAGATCGTTCTTTATATATATCGATTTTTGGCTTTCAGTGAGGAATTTCATTTGAAAACACAACGTCTATAATGAGGCACTTTCTGAATTGCTATAGTTATATCTTACGCAGAAGATTGATTAAGCGTTCCAAAGTGACCCTTTAATACAATTAATTGATAGGTAGACGGTATTTTTTCACTGAGGACTCTTCCACCTTCCCGAGAAAAGTGAGAAATAGAGGGTCCCCTTCTCTATAAACGCGACATAATGGAGATATATTCTGGAGAAATATTATGCTATGTGGGAATAAACGCTTGTTTATTTATTATCTGTATTGACAGATAAGCTTAGCGGACGGATCATGGCAGAGTATGCTTTAAAGTAGTCGAAAAAATCCCCACTAGGTATAAAACATTTCTATTTACACAAATCCTTCGAAAGAGTAAAATAGACATGAAGTTGGATTGAATGTCGAAATTAAGAGGTAGCAGAACTTAATTTCGCTAATTAAATAAAATGGAAGGAGATTTTATTTTGGATAAGGTGGTAAATGTGCGGGCATAGCTGGCATTAGTTGATCCACATTAATTGAGTACTGAAATAAAGTAATAAGTAATATGTAGAAAGATAAGGTTGTATGTGGTAAAAGTGTCACTTACTGGTGGTGGCTGCTGCGGCGTATACGAGCCCTGAAGCAAAAAATAAGTAGTATTTACAAAGAAAACAAGTATAAAGGAACGTTTTATAATGATGGAATGCAACATACAAATTGTTGCTGTGGCCGGTTATAAGGTTCTAAATCTTTCTGAAAGAATTTCAACTGAAACGAACAGCAGAAGAAGACGATGGAACTGATAAATAGGAGTATCCCGAAGATAATCACTACTATACCAGCCGCGTATCTGCTAAAAAGGGGGAAAACCGCAATATTTTAATTGAAGAGAACAAAGTGGGAGGTTTGAAAAAGTATCTAAGTCATGTATTTTTGAAAATAGAAACAAATATACTAATTTGGTAGCTCAGTAAATATCGTGTTGAGAAATAACAACTACGTTGAACGGCCTCATTGCCTCGCCACTAACCAGTTTTAACTAGTTCAGTGGCTTATGCTATTGGTTTGGCGATCCCTCCTGACTACAGAGCCTATAAGGTCTATATTATCGGAGCAAAGAACAAGATTAAGTAAAGCTCCACTTCTTTCAGTTTAATTTAATGGAAAAGTTGGAACAAAAGGTGACAAATTTTTGAATTGAACAGTTTTTTATTGTGCTGAGTAGAGAAAAGGCAAGATGGAAAATAAATGTATCCAAAGAATTCTTTGAGAAGGAAAAAAGACTTTTTTGGTGCAACAATAACGGTAGGCCTATAATTTATGTGTCTTAGACAACCAGGTACTTACTAATCGACAGACCAATGCATGAGAGATGAAATCTGAGTGTTCCTTCTGAATGTGACCAAGTACTCATAACAAGATTATATGTATAATACTGGAAATATTATATCTAGAACTAATAAAAAATGACCAAAATGGCAATAAAACATCAAGTAAGCAAATGCTCAAATTATTGAAGTGCATAAAAAACACAAGAGAAAATAACAAAATAAAATTGAGAGAAACAATAAATCCATCTCAATTTCGAATGTTCTCTAAAGAAATAAAATTGAAGCAAAATCAAAATAAGTATAATAAAAATTACTTTTATTCTGATACATACACATTGAAAGTAACATTATTTTGATACAATGGATCGTTATTCCAAACTGCAAGGAAGACTCCACCAACGATAAGAATGAGACTAATAACTACGGAGAAACACGCGAAAATTTTGTAAATCTTGATGCGAGTTTTAACCAAATCTAAAAATTGGTCCATTTCGTCTAATAAAAATTAAAATGTCAATATAATGTACAAATTAAATCTTAAATAGGCATATGATAGTGCATACCCCAGTAAATCGGATAATTTTCGTTATAAGAGTAGGTATATAATGAGAAAATAAGTGAAGCCTTTGAGGACAATTATATACGGAATTCAATGCAGTTTTAGATAGGATTTAAAACACGGATCTTAGTTGACCCAGACT